AGATTTATAGAATACTCCAGAATATATATTCTTGTCAAGTGAGCAAGCACTGTTCTCTAGGATAGACCATATGCCACGCTATAAAACAAATCTTAATAAATTGAAAATGGCTGAAATAATATAATGTACGTTCTCCAACCAAATGGAATAAAACTAGAAATCAGTAACTGAAAGGATCTGGAAAATTCACAAATAATATAAATATAAATTAAACAACAAAACTTATGGAACGCAGGAAAAGTAGTACTCAGAGAAAAACTTACAGCTGTAACTACCAGCATTTATTTTTGCTTTTTGCATTTTTTTTTTTTTTTTTTGGAGACAGTCTCACTATGTTGCCCAGGTTGGCTTCAAGTAATCCTTTTGCCTCTGACTCCAGGTGAACACTACCTCGCCCAGCCATGCCTATGCTCTGAAAGAAAAGCTGTTTGTGGTGGCACACGTATGTGGTCTGACCTACTTGACTCAAATTACTAGAATCAGATATTAAAGAGGGGACAATACTCCCTACCTTACAGAAATAAAAGGGACTATATTTTGTTTTTTTATTTATTTTTTATTACTAAACATCCTACAATGCATAAAGGGGACTATAAAGGAATACTATGAACAACTAGACGCCAATAAATTAGGTAACTTAGACAAAATGAGCAAATTTCTAGAAAGACACAAACTACTAAAACGGACCGAAAAAAATTTAAAAATCTGAATACTCTGTAACAATTAGAGATTGAATTAGTAATAAATAAGTTACTTACAAAGAAAAGCCCAAGCCCAGGTGGCTTCACAGGTTAAATTCTACCTAGCACTTAGAAAATTAATACTAGTTCTTGACAAACTCTTCCAAAAAATCCAAACAAGAAAAACTTCCTAACTCATTCTTTAAGGCCTGTATTACCCTGATACTAAAACCAAAGACATCACAAAAAAAACTATAGACCAGTATCTCTTACGAATAAAGATATAAAAATTCTCAACAAAATACTAGCAAAAGCAATCTAAACATATAAAAATATATATATGACCAAGTAGGATATATCCCAGATACAAGGGTGGTTTGGTATCCAAAAATCAACTAACATAATACACAATGCCAACAGAATAAAAAACACAAACTACATAATCATCTCAATAGATTTAGAAAAAGCTTTTGACTAAATCCAACAGTTTTTTAGGATAAAAACACTCAACAAAATAGGAATACAAGGCAAATTCCTCAACCCAAACAACGGCACCTATGAAAAACCTGCAGCTAACATCATACTTAATGGTGAAAGACTGGTGCTTTTCCCTGTAAGATCAAAAACAAGACAAGGACATGCACTCACCACTTCTAATCAATACTGTACTGGAAGTTCTAGCCAGGGCAATTAGGTAAGAATAAGAAATAAAAGGCATCCAAACTGGAAAGAAGAAAAACTAACTCTATTTGAGATGACTGACATTATATATAGGAAATCCTGAGAAATCCACTAAAAAACAGAACTAATAAACATTAGTTTAAATATTACTAAAATTATTGGCCGGGCGCGGTGGCTCACGCCTGTAATCCTAGCTCTCTGGGAGGCCGAGGCGGGCGGATTGTTTGAGCTCAGGAGTTGGAAACCAGCC